CCCCCCCCCCCCCCCAAGGATTAACGTGAAAAGTAAGCCGTCCACGTTGTGCACCTTCCGAGCCCATAGATCAGCACCAGAATAAAGGGCATATGCTCTCCCTAGAAGTCGTACTGATCAACTTTCTTGATTCCCCCCGACAAGGCTCCTGCGAATGACAGAGAGAAGTAGCACCTCACTAGCTCGTAACGCAAGGCGCTTCTTCTCGTTCTGAGCATCATCATTTTCAGCCGAATCATCACCAGCAGACCCAGCTCGGGTAGGCTGCGCAACAAGTTTCATCTTTCCTTCAGCGCCTAGAACGAACCCGTTACATGCGATCTTACTGATACGCACATGTTTTCTTGCCGGACTATCCTTAGCTGATGAGCCAGCTAGATCCAGATCCATCGCGAGATGCTGCTCAATGTAAGAAGAGACAGCCGAGAGGATAGAGCCACTCGGTTGATTCGAGTCCCCAGTAACAGGCAAAAAACTCTTGATAGAGCCCCGCGGGATATTGATATTGAGGGACCTCAAATCAGGAGCCACATTAGTAGAGAATGACACTGTAATCTGTATCTCCTTTACGACATCCTCCAGAATAGCCCGTGAAGTCGCCCATTCTCTGTCGCGGCCTTGCGTCAAAGCGTCCAAGTAAGACGCAAGTCCGGCACACAAAAACTGCGAAGGGAGGCGAAAAACAGAACAGTAAGTGTCAAAATTCGCAGAGAGGAAAGAGATAAACGTTTGTCGTAGCGGGCCCGGTAACCGCGTTAACAGTAACGGGAGATATGTGGAGGTTTTACGCGAATGGGATCCCTCTGGTGCAAGCAATGCTGCTTTATAGGTGATGTTTTCGTACTCCAGTACCACGAGGATTCCGCATGGGTTCCCGGGATGAGGAGTATTGGAAGTTTCTAACGCGAGGCTTGATATAGCTTCCCAAGTGCAGTTTTTGAGAGCGCCAGTTCTGGAGAGCGTGTCTTCCTCTGTGGAGGGTGCGCTCGTGCCAACCTGAAATCCGGCTAGCACGTTCCCGGTGAGTTGATCGCGCAAGCGGTTTGCGTAGACTTTTAGAGCTTCTGGGTTGTCCAGGAGAGATGGGAATTCTGTTTCATGGTGTAGAGGTGATAGACGGTGTAAGGTCCACGATGTATTTAGTATTTGATCTGGTGTTGAAGGTGCCATTTTGCAGTCATAATGCTGGGGTTATATAATGTGGCTTAGATGGTTTGTTCAAGTTCACATGTCGAGTGTGAGATCTTTTAGAAACAAGTTCCTACAGTAACTAGTACACCTGTCGTAGCCGTAGCTCCTTAACTAATAGTTAACCAACCAACTGTCCCTTTATAAGCAGCCCCACACCCACCGCCTTCAGCGTGCACATGGAGTACTTCAACAATGATTTCCACCTCGACAATAAATTTATAACTATCTAAAGTTCTGATATATCGTCCTTATATTACATTCTTATTCCAATATTGAGATGTTTACGAATTTAATTACACATTTACTTGACTCAATTTAGGCGTGACCTTCGGATTTAGATTACGGAATAAGACTCCAACAACCCTGTAATCTGGAGGTAACCTCTTTATTTCTTCACTACATTTCGAAGATTGGTTCTGTCTATTAGATTATAAGTATCAATACTGAACAACGACCTTGCGGCGGGGCGATCTATCACAGCCTGATCCTTTACCGTGAAGCTACAGTTTTGAGATGTTTCCCTGGCTAAAATGGATATCATACTTGGCCACATCTTCATCCTACAATAGCTATATCGGTGCCTGGCTAGCATCATATATGTCTCAAGGAGGTTTTGGTTGTAGGTTTGTCTTTATAGAAGTCTACTTTTCGTAGGAATCTAAAACATCGAGCGAATATCTGAACTTTTGAGGAGCAGGATGGGGATATGAAAGGATCGGCACTAGTTTAATGAACCGTACTTTGAGCTCCATTGGTAGTCCAAATCTGGGGATGGCGAGAGGGAATCGACGTCTTATCACTAAATTTTCCAATATAATTAAATTGGGATAAGGAAGCTGCTTTACAGAAGTACTTACCATAGATTTAGCTTTGCGAATACATAAGTCAACTATTAGCAATAGAAAGACTTGACTCAAGGTAAACATACCTTTGTTAGAATAACTTCATGGAATTCACTAGAGACGAGAAGTCTGTGGTGTGAATTCTATTCATCACTACTAGCGAAAGGCAACCACGCATCTTGATGAAAGCCTTTTTTCGCCATTTGTAGTCGGATTGTGTGAATTGCTCTAATGACAGGATATGAGGTTGGAATGGTGGATAAGAATCCCTATATTTGGGCTCCAATCTAAAGGTAACTAAACAAGCGGAGATAGATGGACACTGGTGGTGCTCTCGGTATATTAGTATTAGATCCCCAAGCTAAGAAGAGCATAGTATGGCTATGCAGCTTGGGTCCTATAAGTGACATTTCCAAAACGTACTGATATAGATGGACAGTTAACCAACACAAGTTTAATGACGAAGGACTTTACATGTAGTGCCAGCCTGAGGGTAATGTGTCGGTGGCCGTGTGACTCGACTCCTTGACCTTGATCGATCATTCAGCAGGCAGGTTGATCCAAAACAAAGTTCCCTGTAAGGGGGAAAAAAAAGAAAAAATAAAAAAATAAAAAAATAAAAGAACTTAGCATGTGCTGGTTTCGATCCAGCGACTTCCGGGTTATGAGCCCGGCATTCTTCCCCTGAATTAACATGCTATGATTGGCGGGAGTTGCTCGCCTGCTCTCATATATAAGCCAAGAGAACAGCCCGGAAGACTCGGAGACCTCTTGAGTGGTGTTATATATCATTGGTGGCTTGCCCAGCCGTGTGGGGCACTGGCGAAACCACTACACAGCACTCCATATAAGCCTTCGACTTAATATCCCTAATAAATGTAGGTTTTTTCTCCGGAAAGGAAAGAAACACCGGGCCAAGGGCTCCTTAAAATGTATTTGTATATATCAAAAGAGCAGAATTGATAGCTCGGTACGGAGTACGTAGAATTTGTATCTAGGTAGAGTAAGTCAAAGAATCGCGGGTGTTAAAAGGACCGGAAAGCCATTTGGACCTACCGCTAGAATATATGGGGTGAACCGCGGGCCTTAGTCCAGAATCGGAGGCGGTTGTAAATAAAACAGCAGAACGATATGTTGTAAGTTTATTGATTTACATGAGTAAGAAGCGATTTAGTATACGCGGCGTACATATAAAGCGCTCTATATAAATGATCAAAACAGCCGAATATGCCCCTCAAGAATTAGCGCTAAACTAATCAAGTAATTATATCAGGGATAGAGGTCATAGGGCATTTACCGCCGTGCTGCCGGAGACCTCGCTCAGTCCATTCGAACCCTGACTACCTGCGGGCTCCCGATTTCTAGAACCTCTAGGCCTTCCTCACGCATGTATGACCAGCGGTTCATAGACCAGATCCTCTATATTGAGACCAGAAGGCGCTGTAGATAGAACTTAGTGACCGGTATATGACCTTGGCATGCTCGGGTGTGACATAGCTGGGTTGCTTGGACAAGGGACGTAGGGCCCGGCTAGTAAAAGCATGGTCTTGCAACAATGCAGACTGAGCAGCTTTGTACGTAATGTTTTAAGCGATTTTACGTAGTATGTAAATCAGCTAGACAGTAATGTTCTAATGAGCAAAAACAAAGGAAAAAAACGCCGGCACTCTGTTTCAGCACTTCTTGATAAGCAAAAAGTTGATTCAACTGCCTAGCATGTGCTGGTTTCGATCCAGCGACTTCCGGGTTATGAGCCCGGCATTCTTCCCCTGAATTAACATGCTCCGATGGATATTAGTTTTACTCTGAATTGCTATACTTGAGGAGACTTGAATATTCGGCATTGGGACGTCGGCATGCGGCTTAGGGCTTTGCGGCTTGCCGATATCTAGTAACCCATTATGCCTCATCTGTCCGACAGTTCACTTTGATAGAGATTAATCCTAGAAGAATCTAACAAATTGGGTCTAGGAAAGACGCTAAAATGGCCACTCAAGGGGATATACAGTATTTACAAAAAGGTTGTGTTACTCATCGATCTTGTTCTCAAATGTAAGCTGCAGGGCACGACACTGCTTATGTTCATCACGAAAGATATCTAAGCGTAATCATGCAATTACATATATACGGCCTATGTTACTACCTGATATTATATCATCATCTGACAATTGTGCCCGCCATGGTAAATGATAGCTGGAATAATAAATGAAGGGAGTTGTTATTTGGACCTCATCGTTACGGACCTCGCAATTACCTTATCGGAAGCGGACACACAAGGCAGAAAAGTAGGGAAAAGGCACTCGGCTGAAAAGACCCCACAATCACTAGAGAAAGGTTATACGAAGTTAACTTTATAACACAGAATATTTTAAATTATAGATTTAGAATTCTAGTCTTTGGTCTGTTAAAATATTAGATTCTGATAATATCTCTTATACTATTTATAATATACTAGTCTATATTCTTTAATATAGAAATATAAACTCTATTTAAAATAGCTTTACTAGTATATTATTATTTTTAAGTCAGATAATTCGCTTAACTTCCTTATATAGGCTTAACGTGAGGTCCAAATAACAATTCCCTAAATAAAATATATATGTCGAACAACCAATTGGCTGCGAGTATCTATTTGGTCCAACCATCAAAGAGGTAGACGAGTTCCCTTACCGGGGGTTCTATACAAAGAGAGTTGAAGATAAAGGAATGGATCCAAACGAAGAGATATTGGTGTAGTCTCCCGGCTTGTCATACTGCAAAACCTTCACACGACACTTGGCGTAGGTCCATTATAGGTTCGTTGAAATACATAAACAGTCGCCGTCTCCGATAGAGGTCATTTGTTCTTCCCGCTATTGTTATAACTCAGCTACCGAAGAGATATGGAGGTACCAATACCAACAAATTCATTGCGATGCGTATAGTGTCCTACGGACGCTTTGTGCTTAGACCTAGATTTCAAAGTTACGACAGCGGAATAGGCGGGCGGAGTATAGCAATGTATAGATTCGATGTGACATCTGGTATATTTATCATAACGTAGTGAATGACCAGCAGACCAGGCCAAGTGGGCCATCGTCACATACTAGAAGTAACGGCAGAGAAATCAATCGTAAAGGTCGCCATAAAGGCGGGAGCCCGAGACACAAAACGCCCAATGCTATGCAGAATTATCGATCTTAAACGCCGCTTCAGCTACCATGCGACCAAAACTCATCAGGTTTTATTGCCACGCGAACAAGAAGTGGATGTAAACCCTAGCCAACGTAAGTCGAGTTGTGAAAATTGCTATCAACCAGTTAACGGGTTGCTGGTATAAACACTCTCAAAGTCTATCCTCTCTAGCATCCCATTCACACGGTCAATTTCACGGGTGAGATCCTCCACGTTCATTGCTAGACTGCTGACCTCGTCGAACTTGCGGCGTCGGTTCGCATCAGCGATCATTTCAGAGACGAAGAATTTCTGTTCCTCAAGAACAATAAGCCGCTCACGTAGCGACTTTTCTTCTGCTTCTAGTGCGGAAATGGCGCTGCTTGTGTCGCTGGCTAGGCTGCTGTTACTACCAGTTGCAGCCACGCTACTATACTTAAGAACTGACAAAGCAGAACCTTGTCGCTGATGACCACTCGTCGAACCATTGCTAGGGCTGGGCGAGCTGGTAGGAGAGCTTGGTAGTCGGCCATTGGGCGTTGAATGTTTGAGAACTTTGGGGAGAGATTTTAGAGGAAGCATATGAAGATGAAGGAAGTTGCTGGCCTGCTGATATACAGCTTTCTGGAGACGTTGCTGTGCCGAAGATCCTGTAGGCAAGTCGCGTATGCGTCGAGCGGCGACATCATACTGGGCGAAGGAATCAATAAGTCTCTTGCGGATTTTGGAAGCTTCGGCTATTTGAGCGGACGACGGTGGCCGCCTGGGGTCTCTAATGTACATATTTAGCATACAAACAGCATCTATACGGGTAGCAGACCACATACTGCAATGCTGTTAATAGCTTTTGAAACTTAGGCAAAAGGATTCGAATGCCCCTCTCAAACTGTACCAGATTCTCATAAGCCCTTAAGTCTGGGGGTTTCCGTATGAGGTCGGCTTCGAAGTCTCGACGGTCAAATAATGTTGCCCTGCATTCTTTAC